AAAAAAAAATCCGTTCAAGTGGCTGTCTAGACTTCCAGTTTGAGAACATATGATCTCAGTATTATATTGTCAGCAGAAGTGTTTTGGTGAGTCGTTCAGAAACACCATTTCAATTTCTGATGATTGGAGGACAGGAAATTTTTGACTCTCTCACCTTCAGGTCTCTCCTTAGATGATGGCCTCGGCTGTCCTTGTCTTTCTGTGCCAATGCTCCTGCTAGAACTTCAGGCAGGCCTGGGTCCTCCTTACGTTAATTGCTCTAACTGGGCTATAAAGTGTGCTCTATCTCTTAAAGTAGGGAAGGGAGACAGTGCCACTGGTAGATTCAGATTAGTTGCCTTCTGACCTTGGCAGGGGCCACACTCACTAAGAGAAAAGGAAAGGAATTCAGAGTGACGCCAGCTGTTTCTGTGAAGCCACCTTTGTGCCTTCTGTGAGGTTACTCGGGCATAAGAAGATAATCAGAAGTTTGCTTTGCAGAATCATATCTTAAAATAATTAAGTGCAATTTCATTGAGCCACAAGTCTCTGAAAATGTGTAGCAGATGATATACAACACAATGTGTTAAAAATGACCTTTGTAGGAATCACAACTTATGGTATGGGAATCAAAATCCAGGAATGTCTGTTAAGTGTATTTACCTGAAAGTTATGAGCTTTGCACTTTAAAGTTTTTTTTTTAATTAAGTCAAATAGACATAGATCTATTTGTGAATGTATTCATTTGTGAATGTATTCACAAATACATTCATGCTTTAAAGTTTTTATGAGATCAGTGTTGTGCATTCTGTTCATAAAATCCTTTCCATATATTGAATTTCTGTAGTTATGGAAAATGTTTCTTGTTTTTACAGCTTAAATCATTGCAGTAAGGGGCTTCCCACTTGTATTCCACACCCCCACCCCCACCCCTCTTCTGTTCGCCCTTTTTTGCTTATCATGCTTATCAGTCTTTTTCTCCCTGTCAATAAACTCTATCTTATCACTTTAAAAAATGAATAAGTAAGTTATTCCAATATATTCTTAGTACTATACCTTTTTTCCATTCATTCATGTTTTTGTTTTTTGTACTTTTATAATTAATAATAGCTAATATTTATGGTGTATTCACTGTGTGCCGGGCACTGTGCTTAATTTATTATGGCCTTTAATCTTCACAACGACCTTAAGTAGGTAGTATTTATATTACATTTACAGGTGGGGAAAGTTGGTACAGAAAGGGTTAAGTAATTGCCCAAGGTCAGAGTGTTGATATAAACTCAAGCCAGGTGTCCTCAGAACCACCTTCTGAACGGCCTTCACATTTTATTCCTAGTCTTTGCATCTTCTTCGTGTAAAGACATCATCACAGATACTATTGCTAACTTCTAACTGACATGGGGTTCTCCTGTACCTGGAGTCAGCCAAGCCCCCAGATTCCCACTGCCCAGAACACAGCTGATCCTTGGTACCCTCTGGCTCCTTGAGAGGTACTGAGGCAGCTGGGCTTCCCTGGCCTGCTGCAGGGAGGGAAGCTGCTCAGCTCCAGAGGACATAAGGGCGTTTAAGGAGACAGTGGGAAGGCCTGGTGAAGATTTGTTTCAGCCCCACAGCACAAGAAAAGTACACAAATGACCAGCTGAGGCTCTCTGAAATTGTGTATCCTGGTGAATTTTCCTGAGGAACTGGGAAGCTTTACAAAAATTATAAGAGATGCTCATAAGTCTAGGTCCTGACATCTTTTGAGCTATCCATGTTTTCACAAGAAGAGTTTACTGATATTTAAGAATTTATGAAATAACATAGTTGGGGTTTAATTTTTTTCATCTTTACTCAACTTGGAATTTGCTTGTGTGGAGTTCATTTTTTTCTTCTTGGAGAGGTCTGAAAAACTCACATATCTAATTAAACTCACAATGTTCTTTTAATTAGAAGTAGACATTTTTGTTCCATTCTATGATGATAAATGTCCCCAAGTAAGAAAGATCGAAAAGGAAAAGTATACGCTTTCGTCATCAGCAAATCCTCCTTGTGTGCCCAGAGTGAGGGATTCTGCTGGGTGCTGACAGCCAGGTAGACACACTGGATGTTTTAGCTAAAGAGATATATCCAATCTTAGGATTGTTATTCCTTATAAAAAGAGGACTTTCATTTTCCTTGTTATTGTCTGCTGGAAAATGCTTGGTAATTTTCTGTCTCTATATTTGCTCACTTATAGGACAGTAAATGTGACTGGATTCTGTGGTCACCAATTGCTCCTCCTCTGACTCCCATCCGTGAGATTTTTTTAAACACAACCCTAACCCTTAATATTTCTTGCTCAAACTCTTCATTTCATAGTTTTTTCACTCCTTGATTTGGCCAAAGCTTATCTTACTTCCACTAGGTATGTTTTTGAACCCAGGTTTCTCTCCAACGGCACATTTTTGCATGCTGACCCCTCTCTGGAATGCCGCTCAGCTCCTCATCCTGCCCCTCTTTTAAGGCCTAACTCAAATACCTCATCATCTGAAAAGGTTTACTTGATTTCTTCCCTGCTGTCTGCACACTGCCATACCTGGAAATCTCTATCTCAGTTGTTCTCAACCTTTCTAATGCCACAACCCTTTAATACAGTTTCTCAGATTGTGGTGACCCCCCAAAAGGAACTGTATTAAAGGGTTGCAGCATTAGGAAGGTTGAGAACTACTGTTCTACGTGAACCACCATATCATTCTCTCATGAAACCCATTCTGCCGCCATTGAATTAGAGTTGTTAGAATAGACTAAATAAACTGCAAGATATTAGAGTATATGATAGGTTTTAAGGGTAACTGTCTTATGAAACTTTTAGTTGTGTGTGCATACCAAGCCATGGTGTAAAATATATTTCTTATGATGAGGGAGCAGAAAATTTTTTTAAGTTGAAGAAGCACCATGTTAGCCTGTCACTTCCTTGGAGGAGTTCCTTGGAGGCCGTATCTGTGAATGATGCATCTTTTCTCACATACATACACATGCACACATCTCATAGTCCCACGTTTAGGAGAGTGCTTTACATATAACAGACAGTAGATATTTCTTGAATGCATGCATGTGTGAATACATGAAGGATGCATTCATACAGTAGCTTGAACGGAATGTCTTTGTCGGACCTGTATGTTTCCAAAGGTCATTTTGCCAGCCTCTGAACTGTTAATAATGGATTTTGTTCTGTCCTTGTACTGGGAAGATGAATGACCTACGATGTGCTCAGTGCAAGTGATCTTGGTGCTCAGCCTCCTGCCTGGGGCATCTAAGGATACCTCATTGTTCATTGATACGGTCACCTGTCCTCCACCTCCACCCGGCAGTAGGTGGAGAGCCAAGCTGACTCTCGGTAGCCAGACAGCCTCAGAGTACCTATGCATCTATCCATTTATATAGCATTTGTCAATGTAGTCAAAGGCAATTACTTTCTTAATAAACTCTTTTTCCAAAACCAAGGCGCTCCAGTTTTTCAAAATTGAAGAGTTCCTTTCCATTCTGTAAATGAATGGACAAGAAGAGATAAACTTTTCATTCAGACTTTTCATCTGGACTTGACTTCAGATTCCACCTTCTTAGTGTTGTATGACCTTGGGCCAGCCAGTCAATCTCCTTTTTTTCTCTTTTGCAAAATGGACATAACAATACCTAGTTGGTAGAGTGGTTGGAGGATTAGAGGTGATGTATGAAGCCCCTGATAGAATCCCGAGCACATACAAAGTACTCAGTTGTCCTCACCACCACCCTCCTCTTAGGAGCTGCGATCAGCTAACCTGGTTTTCTGGTATATCTCCTTGGAAGTCAGCCTGGTGCTTCCTCTGTTTGTGTTCACCCGACAGAATGGAGGCTTGCACGGGGCAGTTGGCTGCCTGCCCTTGCCATTCATCAATACTATCAGATGACTGATCCGAGCTCCCGCCCTGGCACTGACAGAAGTGTAGCCAAAGCCATTTCCCACAGCCCTGGTCTGGGCTCTCCGGGTGTTGTATTCTAAGAGGTGACAGAGGCAAATAAAAGTCCTCAAAGAAGTCACACTCTTTCTCATCAGCTCATTGTATTTTCAGCAAAATACTTGAGACTTACTCAGGTGTGAACTGTGACCTGTGCAGACCGAGGCAGTAGAACCAAGGATTCAAAGTGAGTCCACCTACCTTGCTTTTCAAAGGCTCTCAAAGGAGAAATTTCACTGGTTCTTCAGAGTAGGAGTCTCAGAAACGAGTAGGAACACCATAGCACCGGCCCTGCTAGGAGGCCAGGTGGCCCAAAGTGTATTCAACTAAGTAAAGCATGTTGAGAAAATTTCAACCACACTTCTCAGGCTGGCCTCTCTTATCTACCCTCCTTCCTATGACTGGGCAAATACACAGGAAACTTGATTTTTTATCGTAGCCTTGCCACTAACCTGTGCTTCTGGCAAAGTCACTTAAACATGATCTATCACTGTTTTCTCATTCATAAAGTAATAATAGCCAGGCC